GTTGCGTTAGAAAAAAAGTTTGCAAGAAATACTTTGCAATCGTTTATTATTGCAGCCGAGGGGATAAAAACCGAGTCGCGCCGGTGTAATGTCCAATAATCAGAAAAGGAAATGCGGCGCATTAATTATCGAGGCTGAACGAATGAGTCTCTCCTCTCTCTATTACGTTACTCCAATTTCCTATAACACCGGTTACGCTGGCCGACGACGGTGTCTTCCTCAATTATAGCCCCGGGCTCATTATTCGTGATTCGATACCCCCCGATCGCAATGCCGACTCGAATAAAAGTGAGAACGCGCGGCAATGGGATGAAATTGTTGTCGAGGATTCGCGGCAGCCTCGCTGCCTCCGATTATTAATTTCGCCCGTCAAACCACGATCAAATAAATTTCCTTCCCTCTTACCTAACCTACATTACCTATAGTTTCCGCTCGCGCGATCGAGGAAGAATGGGGCTGGAAAATCGAAAGAAATTCTCCGTGTTGCAAATTAATCGGAATGATTTTCGTTTCCGAAAGGAAAACGTTCTTCACTTGCTCGTTGCTAGCTGCCTTGTTCCTTCCAACACTGAACTGCGAACGGAGCACGAGTGTCTTCTCGAAAAATGTGTGTACACATTGGAATATTCGAAAGAATGAGAGGGAGAATTTCGATTCTCTACGATAAACAGCGCGCGCGGTTTGAAGAGTTGTGCGAGCGCGCAATCGGCTCTTACGATCGACAGAAAGGCAACGGTGGCTTCTGCAACTCGCCACGGTGGCTAGTTAGAGAATCGCTTCCCGTTGGAGGCGGCCGCAGCCTATATTCCTAGCTAGCCTAGCACCACGTAGGCGTACGCGTGTTTAGCGCGTAATTTATATAAGAAGAGAGGCACGCTTGGTTCCACCCCAAAGCACTTCGATCCACTGGCGCCGGCACCTCTTCTTCTTTCGTGTCTTCCGCGAGTCGTCGCGGTTCCACGATCCACTCTCCAGCTGCCTGCTGCATCGTCTGCTCCTGCCGAACGGGAAACTTCGCCGAAAGGGAAACCACCCGTACAGAGGAACCCGGCGCGGGTTTCGCTCACTCGGGACACGTAGCCACGCGATTGGCCAATTATCCGGCGGTTTAATTGAAAACAAGCGTACGCCACTGTGCATACACAGCAATTGTTGCGGAGAAGAGGCGCATATAACTCGCAGCAGTGTTGCATCGAACATCCTCGCGATCGGACCTCTTTGTTCGAGAGCCCAAGTCGAGTTTCCCCCCTTTTTTCTTTTTCTTTTTTTTTTTTCTTTCTTTCTTTTTCTCCCGTCCAAAAGGCGGACACGATCCATTCAACCCCCTTCGGGGCAACCAAACCCGGTCGGTTCGATCGTTCAAACCGAACGTGCAATTTGCCAGTTTCGAGCCAGTTGTTCACGAGCGAAGCTTCCGTTTGACCCCGTTTCGACGATCGGCTCTCCTCCGACGACAAGTGGCACGGATCGGGGAAACGTAGTGGCCGAGTAACAGAGTAGCATCTTTTCGAGAGATTTTCGGCAAGCAGATACCTCACCTGGTGTGTTTACGTGTCATCGGGACACGCGGTGAAACGTGTCTCTGTGCGTGAAACTAGCTTGTGAAAACGAAGGACAGCGGGATCGAGGCGAAACAACACGACAACCGTCCGCTTGCAGATAGAAAGTTCCACGGGTCGTCCCGTATTTCTGCCAAAGAGCCACAGTCTTTTTCTTTCGTTGTGCAATTGTTCGTTTCGTAAAAGCTGCGCGGAGTTCAGAATTGAAAAAAGGAAAAAACCTATACGCATACGTGTGTCAGGTGTGTGACTGTGGAAGACGTCTAACAGGACGAACAAAGAGGAGGTTTGAACAGGTTCGAACCTCGAGTTGAGTGACAAGTGCGTGTAAGAGATTTCAGAGGCTGTTCGCCGTTCAGAGGACACCGTTAACGCATTCTATGCGA